CACAGGGAAAGGAGGTGGAGAGCGCAGGGAAGATCCCAAATCATCACCCCGAGCCCTCAGCGGAGCTGGTGGCAGCACCAGGCCCCAAACGCTCTCAGAAGCAACAGGGGTTTCTCTGATCGCACAAACACYTTTTATTCAGCTGATAAGTTTTCAAACACACAGCCTGGCCCGTGCTTACACCTTTTCTTCCCAGATCCCCATTTTCCTTTCCCCCATTTCTTTCCTTTGCTCCGTCCCTCAAGGTCCACCCAGCCCGGGGGAGCGCTGGCGACTCAGGGCCACACCCCGGCCCGTCCTGCTTTCCACGCCACAGGCAGGGCCGTGTCCCTCTCATCTCTCCRCTCTCAGATTCCTCCTGCCAGCCAGGGCAGCAGCAGGGGAAGCCTTGCTGTAATTCCAGCGGGGTTGGAATGAAGGGCAGCGCTGGAGCTGTCTCTGCTGGCCCTGGAGGAGCGGGGAGCTGCACCCTGAGCTCACCCCATATTCTCTCCCAGATGCCTTTTGTCCCGGGAGAAAAGGGCCAGGGCTGTCCCCCCGTGCCCCCMGAGCTCCCAGGGTGTGTTTGAAACCAGCCCTGCACCCCGTGGAATAACCCAACCTCTTCTGTCTTCCAGTAGGCAATGGCACTAAGCTGCCGTTTCAGTTCTCCTCGGTGGGACAGAATCCGCCCGGTGACTTCAGCAAACAGTCTGATGGGAGCCTCTTCACTAAGACCGGTACCAGGAGCTGAGTATTCCCCTTCTCCTGCCCCYCTGGGGGGGATGAGCCCCTCAATCCCGTTCTTGGCTCCCTGGAGTGGTCCCACACCTCAGCCTGGCTGTCCATCCCACAGGCGCCCACTCAGGAGTGTCCATCCTCAGGACTCACTGAGCCAGGGCAGCAAGGAGCATTTAAAAATGTCAAATTTTTAGCTAGGGAGCAGGTGAAGGGATTTGAAATTTGGTTTGCAATGGGTAGGGATAAATTTTAGATGATTTTGAGGGAGAGAGGACCCCACCGTCATTTACCACTCTAGCTTCATTGCTGAAAAATAACACAAAGAGCATGAACTTACAAAAAAAATACACAGGAGCTGCCTGTCCTCCTTCTCCTGAACCAGAACCCCCATTCACAATCTCAGCATCCTCTTTTCAGTACCTGAGGGTGCCAGAGGTGGAATCCAAGAGCACCAGAASGTGCCAAGGACTGATGCACTGGGGATGGCGGGGCAAGGCCATGGTGTGACACCGTGCCATGGGCAGTGGCACAGCAGGGTTGGTGTCACCCGTGGGCACAGCAGAGCTGGAAGGGGCTCAGACCTCTCTGAGCTGCCAGAAGAGCTGCAGGAAGCCAGCCCTGTGCTCTAATTAACCATCCTGCAGAGCTCCCTGCACCAGCCACGCTGCTGACTTTGGGACTCGGCCTGAATTTAATTGGGCTGATTGCATTCCACCTCTGCGCGTTCCTCAGACATTTTAATTAGCCAGCCCTTCTCTCCTGCCTTTTCCTGCCTGATTGGGTGCTGGAAGAGGCATMTGTCTGATGCTGTCGTGTCCCAGCCTGGGGACAGCTGCCTCTCCACGTTGAGCAATGCAATACTAATGATGTGGCACTTCCAGTCCTGCTGCTCGTCCCCACGCCTGTCAGGGGACACTGGGGTGACACTGGCAAGGGCTGAGAGGTGATTTTGGCCGTGTTTTGTCCTGTCACAGCTTACCCCTCCATCGTGAGGCACCAGTCTACCAAGGTGACGCCGCAGACGTGGAAATCCTCCTCCAAGCAGTCGGTGTTGGTAAGGAAAATCCCCGTGGGGGGAGAGTTCAGCCTGRTCCAAGGGGGTTTCAGACATGGATGGGGTTTTTAGGGAATAAATTTCAACCCCACTGCTCCCGTTCTGGATGCAGGTTAACCCCCAAATTCTGCAGCTCTGCGGGGTGGGAATAATCAGTKCTGGGAAATGATGGTTTGGGAAAATTTTGGGTTAAAATTGGGTGCAGAGGAGAGGAGCTGTGCAGGTCCTGTGAGGTGACAGTGGTGGGRCTTTTCCTGCCTGCAGAGTCATTGTGTGACATCCAGAATGTGGCAATGACACCAAAGTCAATGCCATAATCAGCTTTGCTGATTACACTGTGCAAACACAGAACCAGAGGTGAAGGGTCAGAAATCACCCCAACATCTCCAAACCACCCATTTTTCGCTGATCATTTCCACCACAACATCTCCAAACCACTCGTTTTTCACTGATCATTTCCACCACAACATCTCCAAACCACTCATTTTTCACTGATCATCACAAGAGGCACAGGGCAGTGATGGTTTAGGGCTTGTAGCTCAAACACACAGTATTTAAGTGTGAATAAATCAGTGAATGCATGGCCTCAGGAGCACCCAGTTAATCTGCTTTTATTCCCACTGTGCTACATCAAGGCCTTGAAGGATCTCAGTTAAGGCTGTCGAGGCTTTTGCCCCCATAGATGAAATTCTTTAATTTTTTTTTTTTTATATTTCTGATTGTGAAATTCTAATTTCACACATTTGTGAGAGGTTATTTACTGTTGCACAGAAATGAGGGCTGAGAGGAGCAGAGGGTCAGGAACTGAGAGAGTTCCCACATGAGGGAAGCACTCACCAGGTAGAAAGCRGCTGCCTGGGGGCTGCAGATGGATYTGCTCCATTTTCTGCTCCTGTGGAAGSGAAGTTCCTTGGCAAATTCTTCCAGGAAATCCAGCCTTGAGCCTTTGAAGGTGCTGCAGCAAAATTCTGCCATCCCTTCTGCCTTGGGTTTCACCGCTGCCCCTCTAAAATATCCTCACCCACATCTACTGTGTGTGCCTGGTGATTTTTCCTGAATCCCACACAGAAAATCTGGGTTATTCTCCCACCCATTCCTTCCCTGTTTTCTTTTCCTTTCCCCTGCACACATTTGCAATGACCATTTCCTTTTTATAGCCAATATTCACCACGCAGCCCTGAACCTCGCAACTGAGCTGATAAATATGAGCATTTAAAAGCCCCAAAATAGAAATACACATTCTACTCTGCAGTATCTCTGCAGGAGCTTTTATGGTCGATTGGGCCAATAATCTGGCTTTTAAAATAGCCTTAAATGTGTATTTAAGTAATGTACGTCCTAAAAGGTCTGTAAATATGAATTTTCACAAAGGGCTGYGCTGTTTAAGGAGGAAGGACTTTTTCACGCCCAGGGAGCTCTCTTAAATGAAGCCCCCCTCTTTCATATCTTAATTATGTTGGAAATTAAAGCCATAAAATGAAAAGAACCTCGACAGTGAGCAGGAGGTGTTGAGCACTGAGCAGAGAAGGGCTGGGTTTGCTCTGCTGGGCTTCCCGCTGTTCCTGATATTAAATTGGGCTGCACTGAAAGGGTTCCTGTGGGGTCTCTCCCACCTTCTCAAACCTGAGACAGMCTGGACATTCAAAACCCCATTTTTTCCTGATTTCCATGGCCATTCCTTCAGTGGTGTGAGGACATTTCTACCCAGGCTGGAGATGGTGTAGCCAGTGATCCCAATAAATTAATTTTCTGCTGTTTTTGCATTGTGACGCTGCACAGCACAACTTTGCACATGTTGGGGGCAGATCAGAGGGAAATTCCAGGTGTAGATTCTGCAGAAAACAGAGCTGGAGAGGCAGAAAATGCCAATTTCTGCAGATTCTGCCCCATCTCTTCATTTATATTTCTGCTGCAACACACAGAGGCCCAAACCAGCAATGCCCCATTGTGAGAGAATTCACCTGCACAGGAATTTAGGGTTTGCCAGCCAGGGAGCACAAATAAATCCCCCCCATCCTGTAACAGCTCCGAGTGTGACAGCTCCCCTGAGCTGTCAGCTTAGTTAGTAATTAAAACACACSGGCAGAGGCATAAAAATAAAGGTGACATTGCCCTTCTCCCTAAATAAAACCCCTCTCATCGAGCTGTGAGTCACAGGCTGAGGTTTTACGTGAGGCATCATTTGGCTCAGCAATGAGGGCCGTGCAAAGCAGGTGTGGAAATCAAAAAAAAACCCCAAAGTTATTGGGATGTGATGTCTCCAGCACCTCCAGGAGGGGTGGGAGAGGAGGCTGGAGGTGTTGGGACAGGAATCTGTAGGATGGGGATGGATGGGTGAGGGGTAGAGGGTCAGGAAAAGGAGCGGAGTCAGACTCATGTCCAGGAGTGTGGAAGGGATGTTCCTTGAGAATTCCAGGAGGTTTTGGGACAGGAATTTGTAGGATGGGGATGGATGGATGGATGGATGGATGGATGGATGGATGGATGGATGGATGGATGGATGGATGGATGGATGAGATTTGGGGGATCAGGAAGAGGACGGGGGTCAGACTCACATCCAGGAATATGGAAGGGATGTTCCTTGGACATTCCAGGAGGTTCTGGGGCAGGAATCTGTGGGATGGGGATGGATGGGTGAGGTTTGGGGGATCAGGAAGAGGACAGGGTCACACTGACATACCCCAAACTCTCCCCTGCAGTCACATTACCGCCCCTTCTACGTCAACAAAGGCAACGGAGCCACCTCCAACGAGGCGCCCTGAGCTCCGGAAGGTTCCGGGCCGGAGCGAAGACTCGGCTGAGATTGTCACCGATGTCCCTGCTACTCTATTAACCCTTGYTGCTCCAGCTCTGCCGGGGAGAGGGGGGCGCAGATGGAAATTGGGAACTTCTTCCCAAACCRCCCCCTCRCTCCGAGAGCTCCRCAGGCCTTAACAGCATAAYCCCATCCTCTGCTGTCCCCTCRCTGTCCCCTYGCTGTCCCCTCGCTGTCCCCAGCTGCTCTGCCCCTCCTGGG